CCTCAGCCCCTTCCAGCCCAGCTTTGGGGACATATCCCTATGGGGAGAAGTAGGAGGAAGAAGATCTTGATTACCCTACTGCTCCTTCAGGCATCAGAAAGCCCTCTCCTCCCTCCAAAGAAACACATTTTCGAAGGAATGTATCCCCCATTTCAGTGAAAACTTGAGGAGACTAAGACTGGAGGTACATAAAGGGTCAAACTTCCATCTTCATCATCTATGGGCATTACATGTAAGGAGCAGTTCTTGGGCTGGATTTTCTGGCTGTGGGTATGAGGGGGCAGGGTTGTGTGTTATTTCAAGGAATGGGAACGGGCCTGAGGCAGGAGTAAAGGCTGGTGGAGCGAAGGGGTACTAGCTCCCTCAGTCCTACTCCTCCTTCCCTGAAGTGCCCCACTCCCTGCACCCCTCTCCCAGCCTGACCTGAGTCCTCATTAGTGTGCTTGTCTTAAAGTCTCTGCCCCATTCATTGTGGCTGAGGAGAGAGGCCAGGTCTTCAGAGAGGGGTCAGTCTGAGGTGAAGTTGGATTGGGATGCGTGCGGCAGGACCTGTTTGAGAATCATGTATTGTTACAGGCCTTGCACCCCTTTCTTGCTTCTCCCACTGCTCACTTGGGGCTGCCACTGGCCTCTCCCCCTCCTGGTTCCGCTGGCCGTGCCAGGAGAGGACAGGGATATAGGAGTTCCAGAGGGCCCCAGGAGATCCTTGTATATAATGGGGTGGACTGTTCTGAGTGATCTCTGAGCACTTAGTTCTGGAGTTCCACTCTTCCTGGATGGAGAAAGGGGTGCAGGGATGGGGATGCAGAGGGGAGTTCTTCCTTCTCTTCCTCCTGTTGTGAATTATTTCACCTCTCCTCAGCCTTCCCTTCTAGACCACCAGCCAGGGAGGGGAGAGGAAGGAGGTCACAGGCAAGAAAACTGGCCTGTGACATCTTCCCTCCTTCCCGCCAACGTGAGCCATCCTGCAATGTCTGTACAATAGAAACCAAACCAAATGGGCACCCCACCCCTAGTCGCTGGGGGCGGGTGGGGAGGGGGGTGGGAAGAAGGGACGTCTATTTGTTGATCCCCCTCCCCCTCTCCACTCCTTACCCTCAAAGGCAGAAGACTGTTACACTAGGGGGCTCAGAAAATTCAATCCCACCCTTACTAATTGAGCCAAACCTAGAAACACAAAACACACATAGCAAGAAACAAAATAGAGGAGAGAAAGAGCGTGAGAGGGAGCGAGAAAGGTGACCAACACAGAGGAGAGAAAACAAAAATAGCAAAAAAAAAAGAAAAGAAAAAAAAAGCAGTTCTTTATAATTTAATATTCTATTTTAATAAAGGCGTTTATTACCGTATAAATGTAGCAAAGAACCTGGGCTAATATGAAAAAAAAAAAAGACTTTTTATTAGGTAATTTATTATATGAAAAGGATATTTTATTTTATGATAAAGTGATCCTTAAAAAAAAATAAAAAAAACTTTAGAAGGTTTAGAATATATGTAGGGAGAGAAGAAGAAGAAAAAATACATTTGTATTCAGAGTTAAATCTTAAAAAAGGGTTTTTAATATATGTTCGGGTTTACGTTCCTTTTTCCCCCCCACTTTTTTTTGGGGAGGAATGTCATTTGCTTTTCTGTGGGGAGCATCCTGGGATGGATGGATGGAGAGAGGGGCTGGGGGAACCTGGTCCCTTCTGGGGCCCTGTGAATAGATTAGATTTCACTCCATGGGCTCCCCCTCCTTTCTCCCCCTCCCCCTCGGGGGAGCCGGCAGAGCCAAACAAAGAAAGGGATTAACAAGAAAGGAAGAAGCTGAGGACTGAGAATCCTAGGGTGTCCCCCCCTTCCCCTGCCCAGTCCCGGAGGGGGTGAGTGAGAAGGGGAAGCTGGGAACTGAGGCCCAGCAGGCCCATGGGAACCCTCAGAGAGGTGTGAGATTTAAGAGAAATAGATTTTTTTTTTTAACCAAAAATGAGAGAAGAAAAAGAAACCGAGGGGTTTAAAAGAAAAGAATACTACAAAATAATAATTATTAATAATAATAATAATTCAAATTTATTTCATATAATCCTAGAGAAAGAGAGAGAGAGAATAACTAGTTACTTAGTAGACAATATTCAGATAGCTTAAAGTTTAGTAGCATTGAGGGCCCCTGGGTCCAGTAGAATGTATAAAAGTCGTAAAAGAAAAGGAAAATAGGAGGGAAGTGGCTGAATGGGCCCTGAGTTGCCCCATCTTCAGATATCAGGGTGGGAGCAGGTTGCAAGCTAAGATTGGCAGCTTCCAGTCTGCTGGGATTGATTCTGAGAATCCTTGGATTTTTAAATTGTAGGATAAATAGAAGAGGGGCTCAGTTGCCAGGGTCTTTGAAACGGTGGACATTGATCATCTCTAGCAGATGAGGGGCTGGGCTGTGGGTAACAGAGAAGGACGCTTGGGGGCCTGGCCATTCTATCCATCCCTCTGCCTCTGTTGGGCAAAGGTTGCTTACTTCGAAGTGATAGGTCATCACCTGGGCTTTTAGGGAGGATGAAGACCAGCTCGCTCTCCTAAGCAAGCTGCTTCCAGGCCTAACCAAGGAAGTCCTTCTTAAAGTCTAACCTCAATCCACTTCATTACAGATTGAGTTGAGAACCTGGTAGGTTGAGGGGCCATACATACTTACTACTGTATCTTCTCAGACCTTTGAGAGGACTGAGGAGATCTGTCTCCCATCCTTGTTTCCACCCAACATTTCACTTTGCTTTTGCCCTCCAAGGCAGCAGTGGGAGTAACATTCTCCATAAATGCTCTTTAAAGTTGTACTGTGCTTCACAGGTTTACAAAGTGCTTTTATTGTCTTATAGAAGTTAGATTCTAAGAAGGACTTCCCATACCAGGAGATAAAGGGGAGACATCATCCTTGATGGTCTGGGAATATTGATCCCCCAAGGTACAGAGAAGCAGGGGAGGGCAGCAGTGAACTTGGGCAACCCCAGTCCTGACCATCTCTGCTCTAGTCCACCTTTATCTGTAGGTGGTCATGTCGTAGTCATCCACCATGTCTGGGGTTACATCACCCTCCTCACAGACAATTTGGGAGCCTGACTTTTGCATGTGAGAAATCATTTTTTTTAAGCACTTGCCGTCTACCAACCCCAGCTTGCAGACAGTTGGGCCCTTCCCTCCTATCCAAGTATCTAAGTATTGGGGAGGCCCCTTGGCTCTCCTTTTGGTGAGAGGGGCAGGGCCAGCTCCATTACACCAATGACTCTGTCATGCCCTTTTTGGCCCTAGACCCCAAACATGTCCCTCTTCCCAATTTACTCTTCTCACCCCACCTAGGGACAGATTCTCCCCTGCTCTGTTTGTCCTAGAAACTCCCCTAGTTTGGGATGGTAGCATCGAGGGTGGGGAGGGGATTGCCCTTTCCCCCCCACTTGAGGGTGTGGGTGGGGTAGGGTGGGTGGGGAGAGACAGCCCTGGGGCAGGGGGGATGGTCTCTCCACTGTAGAAAGTAGAGTAGGATTGTGGTCAGACTTAATTTGAGGCATCTAGTGAAGACACATACAAATCTGCTGAAGAGAAAAAGATTTCAAAAGCAAAATAAATGGCGGAAAATAAAACCGACCCATGAATAATCAAGTCAAAGTGATGTTGCACAAAATGCAGAGAAACCAAGAAAGGGGAGGGTAAATGTATTAAATGTGCTATTAAGAACTTAATTTTATTAAAAGTATTATTACTTAAGGCTCTGCCTTTTTTCTCTTGCATATGAGTTGGGACCATCTTGTGAATTAGAGGAATTCCCTTAGGGGTGGTCGCTCAGGTTTTCTCTACTGATTCTGGGCATCCCTGCACACTTTATGGGTAGCAGAGGTCTCCAGGGCTCTCCCACTCTCACTTGGTCTCCTCTTGACCACAGCACCCTACTTGAGTATCCAAACACTCAGTCCCTTCTCTTCTCGTTTACTACCTTTTACTCCTTGGGGTGGTGTAGTGGTTAAGGCATTTGGCTGCTAACTGAAACGTCAGTGGTTTGAACCCACCAGTTGCTCCATGGAAAAAAGATGAGGCAGTCTGCTTCTGTAAAGACTTGTTGTGTGCCATCAAGTCAGAACTGACTCATAGCGACCCCTCATTGGGTTTCCAAGGCAGTATCACTACAGAAGTAGATTGTCCCATCTTCCTTCTGAGGAGTGGCTGGTGGGTTTGAACTGCCAGCCTTCTGGTTAGCAGTCAAGTGCCTTAGGCACTATGCTACCAGAGCTCCTCTGTAAAGACTTACAGCCTTGGAAAGCCAATGGGAGTTTCTGTAAGTCGGATTCAACTCCATGGCCTTGAGTTTGTTTTTTGTTTTGGGCTTCTTGGGGGGCAGTCAGACCTGCAGACCAGGGCAATAGAGTAAATTTGCTTGTGCAGTCATCTCTTGGGTTCAGTGGAGAAGTGGCCAGCCAAGGGCCAAGAGAGTCAGAGACCCTCCCCACTCATCCAAACCAGACCCTTCAATATATCCCTCTTCTTGGGGGATGGAAGAAAACAATGGAGAACTTGCACATTCTGTCTCCCAGGCTTAACCCCACCCCTTCCCCCAGAACATACATACAGGACAGACCTGTAGGTCCTGATACCTCCTCTCCCTAACATCTCCCCCTGCCTCCTCCCCTTGCCCCTGGCATTGGAGTGACCTCAGTTCTTGGCACCAGGGCCCTGGGCACCAGATGGTTCCCTCTGATGCCTTTTCCTTTGTCTTGCTTTCCAGATACCCCCTCCCCTCCAGGCTGCCCTCCCTCCCCCACCTGCCCTGGGGGTTGGCAGGGGGAAGGGCTCCATCTCCCACCCCTTGGCACTGTCCCCAGACCACAGGGCTCCCCCAAGCAGCTGGCCCTGGGGTACAGTGGGTATGGTGGGGAGGACAGAGGGAGGGGAAGGGAAACAGGGACTCAGAGGAGGGTCAAAGCTAAAGGGAAGGTACCAACTGGAAGAGAAAGAGGGAGGAACAGACAGAGGCAGCAGGATGGCCAAGCATTGATAAAAAACACAACTTTATTTGACGGCCTGGTCTGTCAGGATATGGATAGATAATAGAGATATGTGTGATGAAGCATGAAGACGTCAGAGTTCTAGGGAGCTGTGAACAGGAACTGGACATTCTTGACATCCAGAACCAAGGGGCAAGGAAAGGTCCTGGGGCTTAAGGGGGGGAGGGTGGCCACCAGGACACCAGTGGGGACAGGGCTTGTGCCGATCAGGGTCAGAGGTTGATGCAACAAGCCCTCTTCTCCCCAGGGTCCCGCTCCTGTCCAGCCTGGGTACTACCCAGGGTGATGGCATTGGTCCGGGTGCTGTTCTGCCTCTGCTTGGATACCTTTGTGAAGATCTCTGAGTGGGTAAAAGGCAATGATCAGCCCAACACTGAGTTCCTCCCTGCCCCCCACACCCCTGTACATTGGGGGTGGCCACCTTTGAAGGAGGGTTTGCTGGGAGGAAGTGGAATTTGGACACCTGGGTCCTTTCTAATTACCTGGGTGAGAGGGGCTGAGGGGGATAGGCAATGGTGCCAGGGGGCACTGAGGAGGCTAGGGGACCAGAGAGGGGCTGAGGTATCAGCTGGGACCACAGGGTGAAATGAGGGTGCCAAATGGAGATAGGGGCTCTAACCTTTGAGGACCGTCTCAAAGGCCAGCTCAACATTGGTAGAGTCCAGAGCTGAGGTCTCCAGGAATAGCAGCCCATTGTTTTCTGGCAGGAAGAGAAACACACCATTAATTGAGGGGTACCAAAGCAATAATCACAATAATATTTACTAAATATCAGGCACTGTGCTAAATTCCTGGCATGTTTTAATCCTTAAAACAACCTATAAAGGTATAACCTGTTGAGTGGAAAACTAATTTGCTCTGTAAACTTTCACCCAAACCACAATAAAGAAAAAATAAACAAACTCTATGAGGTAGGTATGATTACTACACCTCTTTTATAAAAGAGGAAACTGAAGCCCAGAAACACAGGACATGCAGAAGGAACTTGCTCTGTGTCCGCATCTAGTAATTGACCAAGATGAGATGTGAGGCCAGGCCGTGGGACTGTCCTTAACCACAATACCATGCTGCTCTAAACCCCAGAAAACTCCTGGGGAAAGTGTGACTGCAGTTGGCCAAGAGAAGTTCCCCTCTACACTTAGGATCTCTGGGTATTGCAGGGTAGGGCTGTCTTAAAATCCACTATGAATAATTGCCCTTGAAGACAATCTCAGGCTGATGGTGGGCTGTAACAGGAGGAACAACCCTGAGGGAGAGGAGATGGAGGTAGAGAGACCTGATGGAGGAAGTGCAGGCTGGGGACTCGACTCACGCGGCTGGAGAGGCTGGAGTTGGGAATGTGTGAAGAAAGTTGGAGGAATCTGACTAGATTGTGTTAGGCTCTCACCAGCGAACATTTGGGCCTCCTCAGTGGGTACCTCCCGGGCCTGGCTGAGGTCACTCTTGTTACCCACAAGCATGACAACAATGGTGGCCTCTGCGTGGTCGTAGAGCTCCTTTAGCCAGCGCTCCACCATGGCGTAGGTCTGGTGCTTGGTTAGATCAAATACCAGTAGGGCCCCCACAGCACCACGATAGTACCTAGGCAAGGGGTGGGGATGGGCAGAGAGGCAAGGTCAGGGCTATAGGGCCCAGCCTCAGAGCAGAGCTATCAAGTCAAAAAGCCAGAAATCAGAGAATCAGAGACCAGGAAATATGGAAACTGGGGTCCAGGGAACCAAATCCCAGTAGGTAGTCCAAGGCTCCTGTGCCTGATGCTCAGAAACCTCCAGGGACACTGGCCTTGGGGTCTCCGCAGCCTCACCTCCCTGCTCTAAAACCTCCACTGGCTCCCTCCTTCCTTCATAGCCCCTGTGCTCTGCTCAGTTCCTTTGTTCTGATTTTAGCCCCTATTATTCACCAACGTATACGTCAGCTCTGGCCAAGTCTACCTGCTGGATGTTGCCTCTCTGAGATCTTTGCAAAGGCTCCTTGACCCACATGTCCTCTTCTTTCCCGTGGCCAGATAATTCTTACCCTTCTATCGTGTTGTTGTTTGCTGTCGAGTCGGACCCTACTCATAGCAACCCCTCCTTGGGTTTTCGAGGCAGTATCACTATGGAAGCTTGCCCAACTTTCCTTCCGAGGAGTGGCTGGTGGGTTTGAACCACCAGCCTTCTGGTTAGCAGTCAAGTGCGTTAGGCACTATGCCACCAGAGCTCCCCTACCCTTCTATCTAGAACTAGTTAAATGCCTACTCCATGCAGTGGCCCCTGACCTGACCACCTCGGGCATCCAGCTTCACTTTTGTAACTAAGTGTGTGGGGCTCCTTCAGACTGGTGCCGCCTAATTATTCCCATTTTACTCATGAGTCAGCTGAAGCTCAGTCAAGAGGCCTCCAGGGTGTCCTTTTAGTCTTGTCGCTTTGTAAACTGGAGATGACCAGTCCAGACTTCATTGTTTGCAGTTAGATGGTGAAGGCTGCCAACTGCAAAACACTGTGCAGAGGTGAGGGGGCGCTCTTGACCCACAGAGCCTGCTCCCATCCTGGCTCCACCCTGATTTCACCTGTTTGAGTCTATGGTTTCTTGTATTTAAACAGCAATTAGTCATAGCACCTTAAGGAGCTCTGTTGGCATTCTGGTTAAAGCATTAGGCTGCTAACCAAAAGGTCAGTGGTTCAAACCCACCAGCTGCTCCATGGGAGACAGATGAGGCAGTAAATCTTCTGTGAAGATGTACAGCCTTGGAAACCCTATGGGGCAGTTCTACCCTGTCCTACAGGGTCACTATGAGTCAAAATCAACTCGATGGCAGTGAGTAATCATAGCACCTTAACTCATGGTGGTACTTTGAGGATTACATAAAATGCCAACAGTAAAGTTCTTTGTACCTTCCAGGGCACTGCAGCAATTATTTTTGTTTTGAGTCCCAGTAACACTATATTCTGTCTTGAACTGTTTGCTGCTCATAGCACTTGTGTCTCTTTAACTGGGCCATGAAATCTTGGAGGAAGGTGGCTCACCTGGCATCTCAGGACCCTACCCAGAGAGGCACTGCTGAGTTCCCTCGATGCCGAGTTCCTTCGCTGCCACCTTCTCCACCATCCTCCAAAGGTGTTCCCTGACTTTCCCAGCACCCCCACACCCCTTTGATTCCCCAGGCCCGGGCTCACGCTGAGGTGATGGCTCGGTACCGCTCCAGGCCAGCTGTGTCCCAGATCTGAGCTTTGACAGCAGCGGTGCCCAGCATCACAGTGCGAGTGGAGAACTCAACCCCGATGGTGGTGCGGCTGTCGTGGCTGAACTCATTGCGTGTGAATCGGGATAGCAGGTTGGTCTTCCCCACGCCTGACTCGCCGATCAGCACCACTGAGGGGATGGAGAAAGAAGGGCTGAGCATGGGGCCGGGCAGTCCCAAGCCAACCTGAGCTTGGAGCGTCTGACCATTAGCACAGGGGAGCTGGGCACACAGGACCGAAGAGGCAGCCAGCATTTCTGGCAGGGCCTGGGGTCAGGTCTGCAACTCTGCATGATGATCTGTCTTGGGAAAAGGGCCAGAGTTTGGAACAAATTCAAGGGACATCGTGTTTTGTAAAGTAGAAGTTTTGAGAAAATGAGGAAAACCCTTCACAAGATGGGTTGACATAAAGCCACTACAATGGACTCAGACATACCAATGATTGTGAAAATGGACACACACAGGACGAGGTATCATTTTGTTCTGTTGTACATAAAGTCACCATGAGTCGGAGCTGACTGGACAGCTGCAAATAACAAGGATGATAGGCCTAGTCTGTTGAGATGTGGCTGCAGAGAGTCAGCCTGTGCATTTGGTCATGATGTGATGTCTCTGAGCTGTTAGTGGGTACTGGTGTTCATGGGTTGTGCAGGGAAGTTATCTGAGTGTGTTAATGTGAACAGGTATGGTAGGAGCTCTGAGGGGTACACATGTTCTGGAGTAGAGAGTATGAAGTAGGGGAAGTGGGAGGTTTGCTGTGTATGTTTGCACAAGGAACAAAGGTGTAAATAGAGATGTGGGTGAGAAGAAAGTTAGCCAGGTGACACATCTGTGGGTGACAGTGAGGTGTATATGTCTGTAAGAAGTTAGGATCCAGTTGTCCCTTCAGTCTTGTACTGTCAAGAGCTTGGGGCTGGGAGCTGGATAGTTGTGGTTTACAGTCCTGATTCTGCTTTGTATCAGCTGTGTGTCCTTCAACAGGTTATTTAACCTCTCTGAGACTATTTTTTTAATATGAAGAAAATGGAAATAAAAATAGTATCTACCTTATGGGTTGTTGCAATAAGTCAATGGGATACTGCCCAGAATATAGGAAGTGTACAAAACTGTTATTGCTGTGGATTGTTGTAGGTTAACCAAACCAAATTCACTGCCATCAAGTTGATTCTGACTCATAGCAACTTCCATTGGGTTTCCAAGGCTATAAATCTTTATGGAAGTAGATTGCCCTATCTTCCTTCCGCAGAGCAGCTGGTGGGTTTGAACTGCTGACCATCTGGTTAGAAACCAAATGCCTTATCCACTATGCCACCAGAGCTCCTTGTTGTTGCTAGGCTAGTGTTTTTACCTTTGGGTTTTCAGGAACAAGGGCCAGAAGGGCTATGAAGATCATTTGGGCTTATAGGTAGTATCCGGAGTCTGACCTTGTCTGCTGATGGGGAGCCAGAGTAGGATGTTGGGACTGACGTAAGTAGGACCCACAAACTGCACTGGCACCAATCTGAGCACCCAGGATCAGAGGAGGCCACTCTTCAGACCCAAGGTGGTTCTGTGGAGGCAGGCTGTCACTCAAGGACACACTGGGCTATGGTCTCAGGTCAGCCTCAGACTAGTTATATGACCTTGAACAAGTGGTTCACCTTTTCTGGGTCTTAGTTTCTTTGTTTATAAATCTATAAATGTCCTTTGCAACTTTGAACATTCCTTATTTATGTAGGACAGGAAAGAAGTGGGAGCAGTATGGGTATGCACGGGTAAGAAGATGGGCAGGGTGTATGTGTGTTTGGCTGCCTGCTTCTCCTTTACTGGGTGTCTCATTCCCATCTCATCCCTTCCAGAGGGTGGGCTCACAGCCTGGTCTCAGGCTTCAAAGGTGCTCAGGGCAAGGGCTTTGGAGTCTGACTTTGTGACCTTCTGTAAGCTACTTACTCTGTCTCTAAGCCTCCATCTGTAAAATGGAGATACTATGGGCTAATATTTATTGAGTTCTTACTCTGTGCCAGGTGCTGTCCTAAAAGCACTATATATTTCATCCTTACAACAGCTCCATGAGATAAACACCGTTATGATTATCCCCATTTTTACAGATGAGGAAGTCAAGGCCCTTAAGAGGTTAAATGACTTGCCCAAGATAACACAGCTAGTGTGATAGACACAGAGATGTGTTGCCCAGATCCGCCTTCAAGGAAGGACTTGCTGCGCAGCTGCAGGGAGTGTGGTTGACTGACAGTCTCCAACTATCAGCTCCTTCAGCATTTGTTTCTGGTACAGAGAGCCATTCACTGAGGCCATGCCCTTCCTGGGCAACCTGCATCCAATGACTGAGTAAGGTGAGGCTGTGACAGGCTGGGCCACTCTGATGAGCAATACTTGCTCCAGAGCTCCCCACCCTTGGTTCGCCTTTGTCAGTCCTGCTTTGCAGTTTGACTTCTCCCTCTGTCCAATCCTGTTTCCACCCCCTTCATTTACATGTTGCACCTCAATCTTCTTCTCTGTGTCTGCTACTGAAGACTGTAACTTGCAATCACTGCAAATGGCAGAGTTGAGATCTGAACTATTAGTCAGCCTCCTGATCACTATGCTATACTGTTTCTCAAGAACTTCTTGGGGTTGTTATAGTGATTAAAGGAGTCCTGGTGGCACAGTGGTTAAGTGTTCAGCTGCTAACTGAAATGCTGGCCATTTGAACCTGCCAGCCACTCCGTGGGAGAAAGATACAGCAGCCTGCTTCCATGTAGATTATCAAACTAAACCCAACTCACTGCCGTCGAGTCGGACCTGACTCATAGTGACCCCTTCTTGGGTTTCCAAGGCAGTATCACTATGGAAGTAGATTGCCCAAACTTCCTTCCGAGGAGTGACTGGTGGGTTTGAACCACCAGCCTTGGAGTATTTCTACCCTGTCCTATAGGGCCACTATGAAGTAGAATGGCAACAGGTTTTAAAGTGATTAAGGCCCTGCATGATGTGAATGGTGAAGCATTCAACTATTAACCAAAAAGATGGCAGTTAGAAGCTATCCAGAGATGTCTGGAAAGAAAGGCCTGACTATCTGCTTCCAAAAGGTCACATCTTTGTAAACCTTATGAAGTGCAGTTCTACTCTGAAACACATGGGGTTGCCATAAGTTTTTTGTTTTCAAACAGTGAGTGATTAATGAGATAGTTTGTTGTTGTTATTTGCC